CTCTCTCATTATTGATATTTTAATGCTTATTATTGTGTTGCAGGTTAAGATAGAGAAGTTAGTAACAGCAATGGGGGGAGTTTTGCATGCTAAAGCATCTTTGGATGTTAACTTTGTTATTGTGAAAAATGTCTTGGCTGGAAAATACAAGGCTAGTTACTTTAATTTCTCTCTCTCTTTTCAAAATTCAATGCCTTATGATTTATTTCTATGTCAGTCATGTTGGAATTTGATATTTTGGTACATTTTAGCTAATAAAAAAACTTTAAAACTCATTTACCAAGTCGCACTGTACAATGTTATATAATTTGACTCTTGTTGTAACTGAATCACTTCTAACTGGAACTCAATGATGATGAGTTCTCTTGCAATCACTTTAGAGTTAGCATTTCTTATGAAAATGAGGAATTTGCATATTTGTGTGATGATCACTCAGACTATACCTGGGAAGGTAATTTTTGGAAAGGTTGGTTATGGCAGATTTCTTATGTTTTTGAGATATAGTTACTGAATTAGTTCTTTTTATGCAGTGGGCCTTGAATACATTAAAGAAGCCGATTGTCACTATTAATTGGTTATCTCAGTGCTGGAATGAGCATCGTAATGTTCCTCAAGACTCCTTTAGGGTTCTTCCTTTTTCTGGTTTGATGATCTCTGTAACCAGAATTCCAGCAGGTTCTGAAGTTAGCTATCTATTGGTCCTGTGTAAGAAGGTTTTATTTTATTTATCTTAAATACGTGGCTAAATGTGCTTGTCTCTTTCAGATGAGCGAAAGGAGATTGAAAAGCTTATCACAGAAAATGGTGGAAAGTATTCTGCTGAACTTACAAAGAAGTGCACGCATTTAATTTCTGATATATCCTTTTATGATTCTTAAGATAAGCAAGGAATTGGAATCATATGTGTACTTTTCTATGTCAGACCTGATAACACAAGCAGACTTCAACTTAATGAAGCAAACCTTGAAATATTTATGTTTTGTGTGTGGTATAAGATCATATATTCACTCTCCTATAAATCTAGACTTTTGCTCATCATAGCTGCAATCTTTCCTGAATGATCACACCAACCCTACCTTTGACTTCTAAGAGTGTACAGAGACCTTTTCTCATTTCTGTGTTCAGTTCTTTCCTATTTGTTTGTGTGGTTTCTGTAAAATGAAGTTTTTGAGCAACATCATCCACGCATTCCTAAAGTTTGCCTTCTAAATTAATTTACCTT